TGATGGGAGGAGGGGTTGCGCGGTGTTGTGCGCAGGGGATGGGCGGGGCAGGAGTGGTTCAGTGCATAGGTGGGTCGATTCTTTCTTGGGTGCTGGTGCATCCGTAGGCTCGTGTTGTCCGTCTAGAGGAGGTGCGACTATAAAGCACAGCTACAACAGCAGCTGCAACTCGAGAAAACGACAAAGTTGGTTTATCCACGTGCAGTAGAATATATGGCACGGTATCATGATTTTGTCTTCTTAACACGAGTACCAAGAGCGTAGATACCACGTACTCCGGTTTCATGCTCGCCAACCAACAGGTTTGGAATAAACGGCACGAGTGCTGTGAGCGCTGATCTGAAGTGAAAACAAAAACAAGAAGGAAAATAGACACGAGGGTGTACCCACCCCTCTATCAGACTACAGTGGGTACAGTCGTCCCCGCTTGAAAGTCAACATTTTTAAAGACACTCCCCGCTTTAAGGACACAAAAAAATATCAGAAACATGGTGCCCGCAGATGTGAAAAAGTAGGGGGGGTAGGGTTTTCCACCATTCGACCCCCCCCAGAAATGTGCTGCAGCACCTGTAGATCCTGGATCATCAACAGCGGTCTGCTGCAGCCGCACACTGCGTGTGGGTGTATGGAAAGATTCATTCCATCTGCTAGCGGTTCGTCTGCTGCCGGCTTCAAGCCATGCGGCGAACCGACGTGCCAGTTCAAATGTGCACTGGTGTCACTAGTTCATCAGTGTCCGTGCGGGCGACCCATGCACGCGTTTTGTGGTCGGGGCATCGGAGAGGAAGGCCACGGACAGCAGAGAGAGTGCTCGTTTTGACCTTTTGGGACGCGCGGTGTCCTCTTTGTCGCTATGCTTTCCCGACATTTTTGGTCTCTGTGATTCTGCGTAACCTACATTTTCCTAGTGTCGTTTTACAACCTTCGATATTTCTCAGGTGCGGTAGCGAGATCTTGGGCAAGATAATCGCGGGGAGGACAACGCCTAAAAAATAAAATAAAGCAAATAATTAAGCCCATATCAACACCAGCGCACTACCGTCGTGTACATGTACGATGCGTGGGTCGTACAACACCATCGCTTTCAGCGTTTCGGTGGTGCAGTACGGGGAAATTCAAACGATGGTATGCAAGTATGTGTTGCAGCACAATAGCAGCAGTGGTTGTGACCTTCAAATCACCTTGTGTCGTAGGTTTCAAACAACACCTCTCGTGGTCGCCTTTCTGCTGGGAATGCGCACCTTTTGACATATGTTTCGCCTTTATTGGCCCCTAGGATGGTGCGTTAGTGGCCCCGGAATTTTACAGAAACTTCCCCGCGTTAAAGATTTTTGTTTTGGGAAACGTGGTGTGTCTTCAAAGCGGGGTCGACTGTACTAGGGAAAATTGCGTTGCGAAGACCTCTCGTGACAGGGCACAACCACAACATCTTTCCGATGCATGCCAAAACACGGGCAGGGCCCATGGACAGCATGAACATCAATTTTATTTTTTACTTTCTGGCTCGTCTTCACCCGACACAGCTGCGGCACACAAGGCCTCAACAGGTTGCCCAATTTTGTCCAAACTGCGGTGGGCATACACACCACCGGAATCTACTTATTTTTTCAAATACCCACCTTTATCTGCGTTGTGACCCACTCTTGTCTGAGAAATGTACCCACCACTGCTTTTGTCCGAAATATGTACCGATTTTTGTCCGGTTCTTACTTTGAAAATCGACATCCGCGTCACAGCACGGGGGAACTGTTCCAGTGAAAAGGTCGGACACACGTGGGTAAGGGTTTTCCGGTCAATCACTTGCTAACCGAAGCCCACCCTCGACCTTTTGCTAACACACACGCGGTGACCTCTGTGGCAGATCGCCCCTTCGTCTCGCAGGAGCAGCGGCAGTGTGCACTCCAAATAGCTTCGTGCTGCTTGCTGCTGCTGCTGACAAGTTGTACTCCGCTATGTCGTCGCGGCCGTGCTTCCCAATCCCCACATGAAACTTCCCCGCAATTTCTTGCCTACTTTGCCACTGTGCGATTCAATCCCGCGCCACGAACCCCAGATTCAGAAGTCTTCGCAACAAAATCGATTAAGCAAACATTAAAGACAAAATATTCAATCCGTGTTTTGGGGTTAGGGTTAGGGTTAGGGATAGGGTCTGCGTACCCCCTCCCTATTATTTTTCTAGATACATCAAATCCTGCGTAGGCGGTCCCCCACATTTCCTCGTTCAATCTTACACATTTCGTACAAAAGTGGTAACAAAGCAGGCAAAGGTGGGTTCATGAAAAAAAAAAATGGAGTGGTGATGAATTTCGGATAAAATCGGGCAGCTGAGGCCTTATGCACCGCGGCTGTGCGTAGGGTGAGGACATGCCCGACAGTAAAAAAAAAGTTGATGTTCATGCTGTGCATGGACCCTGCCCATGTTTTCCATGCATCGGAATGATATTTTGGGTAGTTGTGCCCAGTCACGAGCTGTCTCCGCAAAGCAAATTTTCGAGGATCAAGAGTACCCACTTTTGTCTGAGAATGGGGTGGGTATGGTGTATCCACTTTGTCGATTTCCCATTTTTAGTAAAGGACCCGAGGGTCCGCAAGTCAAAACAATACACCAATACTTCAACGTAGAAATCAACGACAGATAGCTTGGCCAGTAAATTAAGGGTAAATACGACCTTGTAGAGGTTTGTGTGGCCTTTGTCTTTGTTTCTCCGATCGGTTGCAAGAAGGGTGGAGACGTGGACACAACCGAGCATAAAAGTACAATCTTGTAGGGGGTTCCAAGTGTTCGTAGCCCCCACAATGAAAGCACCCACGAGTGCGTCTTTTCGCTTTTGCTGCGGGGAGGGACCCTGACACACTCTATAACGAAGGAAATTCGATACTGACGCGCGGAACCAAAGATAAATTGTCCTACCGGCTGCAGTATTTCGGAAATAAAGTCTTGCTATTGTTGTATGTGAATGTGCACAAGAAACGAGAGCGCACGATGATATAAAATGGATGTGTCTTGCGGTCCGAACGAAGGAGGAAGGAGGAACTGGAACGAGATAATAATGGTGAAACACAACGTGTGAGAAAGATCACGGCCCGCGGGATATTCGGTGAAATGTGATGAGTCTAACCCCATCACACCGATTCTCCGAGGAAATCGAGCACCCCCGTATGCTACTTACTACTGTAATACCGAACAGGCCATGCCGCGAACTCCTGCTGCGGATGATATTTGGACGGCAAGCCAATACTGTAGTCAGTAGTTGACAGAGGCCTTTCACAGAGCAGCAGCAGCTTCTGCGCGGGAGAGAGGACGCTGTGAGGAGCAGAGACAGGGTGGTGAACAACCGTACCAAAGGAGGCGCGCGCGTGCATACTCTCCCTCTGGCAGGTCTCCTACATGTATGTACTTGTACGCAAACGTGGATACGAGGGCACACCAGACACAAAACGTTCGTCGTCCGATGGAACGAATGTTGGGCCGAAAACGACAACACGCACAAGGGTCCTGGCCGCAGCAGAGCGATCGCAGCAGGGGGCACGTCAATATACGCACGCACTCCGGCGAGAACTCACCACGAACTCTTCGAAGCTCTCGAACCGCCTCAAGCCTCCGGGAAACACAGCAGGGGGCATATTCTCCACTTCCTCCTGCGCCTGCGGCTCCTCCTCATGTTCTAGCTCATTCGCCACGACAACCGCGCTGGGTGCTGAGTCTGGCTCTGGTTCGCTGCCAGCCGAATTTTGAGCCGCGCTGCTGGTGTGGACGCTGCTGGGCACGTCCTTCATCTCCGCCACGAAGAACACGAGGCAGAGCGCCGCCAGTAGCACGCATACCGTGCGAGCCGAGGCCGAGCAGCTCGGCCGACCCTGTACGGCTCTTCTCAGCGAAGCGAATCGCGACCCGTTCGATGATATAGCGGCGCGTGTTGCCGTTGTCGGGAGCGACGGCGATATTGGTCGCTGCTTGATCATCTTGTCTTGTCGGTTCTCTATGACCACGTCTCCTGTTCTCGAGCGGATGGGGAACGCTCTGCTGCTGTTGCTTGTCGGATCTCGCGCAAAAGACAGTGCACAGGCCGGACGGTATGCAATGCTGTGCGTGGAGACGTGTGGGCAGACCGCGCCAGGCCAGCTTTCGAGCTTCTTCGTTCACAAGAACATTTTGGGGCCCGCGCATGACATACCCCATACATGTTCATGGCTGCGAAGTCCCCTGCACGAGAGCAGTCGTTCGGAAAGCACAGACTCAGCACAGCAGTCGCGAGGTACCTCTCTGTGCGCGAGGGAGGCGCCTTATCCTGCACCAAGAAGGGATCCAATCACCATGGTCTCGGCATTCGACGTTGAACTGTGAGATATTTGGGGACGTGTGTGGTTTCTTTCCTACGTTGCCTGCAGTCGGTGTCGGCTGGCTGTTTGAAAATTACAATTCCAATCTGTCCAACGCCCGTCGTTGGAAGTAGAGTATATCTTTGTGAACGTTTCTCGTTCGAGCTCCTCGGAAGCTGTGTTTGCTCTTGTCGTCACGCAGTACAGCGTGTTTGCTTAGTATACTCCGCCTGACTCTTGCCACGTTGCTGTTGCCCTACATGACCCAGCTTGCCGAGCTCCGAGCACAATTCTCGCCACATTGCATCAACTCAACTACAACACAGCAGTCGTAGATTTTGGCCCTCTCCCAAAAAGAAACGGACAATGAACGACGGTATCCAGGCTGTTGCAACCCATGTCGATGACAACGCGCTGCTCATTAGGGAAACACCAGCCGTCCGTACAGATGGCGTGAAAGTACTGCTGCCGCACCCCGCGTCTCGCTGGCTCTGCTTTGCCAATGCCCTCAACTCCGCCCCCATCCCTCTCCTTCGAATCATCGTTATCACAGGCCGTTTCCCGTGCGGGATGGCAGACGACGTCGGCTTAGCATCAATGAGGTGGCCACGTACAGAGACATCGCTTTGACCCGCGGGCACGCCGGCAGGGCGCTCGGAAGGGCCAAGAGGGCCCTGAAGATGGGGCCCGTGGAGGCGGCAAGGCTTGTAGACATCATGCGGCAGGTATGCAAAAGTGGTGTCGCACACAAACTTGTATCATACTGCTGTGGAACTGCGGTCTACACAAGCAGGACGGATGATAAAGGTACATGATCACCTGCTGATAGCTCCTGCGAACGAGGGTAGACAACCCTCACTCCTACCGGCGTTGCTGCACCTTAAGTGGAAGGCCTCCGATAGACCCCGCTTATCGTACCCGTTGAAGTGGGCAGATGAACAGCAGCAGCAACAAGCCTACCAGGCACGGCAGTGTAGCAGTCCGTTTTTCTGTTTTTTCTCACAACCGTATCTACACAAGGACCACGGGGAAGACTACGTGTCTTTGCCACAACATTGCCATGATCATTCGAACAGACCCACACGTTCATCCAGCGTCGCTGGCCTCTATCTACCTCCTGTCGCACAAGACTGACGGACACATTGTTCTTTTGGACTATTGTCGTACGTACGACGAGGGTATCGCTAACAACAGATACGTAGCTGGCGGGGTGGAGATCGAAAACAATGGTGATGACTGAGCGAATGCAAATACGTAGCCGCCGTGCTTGCTTGCACCCCTTCTCGCGACGTAGGATTTGTGGACGGTATTCCCCGCCGCTGCGTGCCGGTGGTGAAAGGGCGATTGTTGCTGGGACGCACTTGCAGACTGGCGTTGTAGCGATTGAGAAAAGCACTCGGAGATGTTGCGTCCTCCCGCTTCTGCTGGGTTAGCACAGTATTGGTGGTATTGTGCGCACAAGTCCACCACGCGTGTTGTGAGCGGACGCCCTTTCTTGACTTGAAAATTAGCTGCCGCTGCTGTTGTGCGTGGCGCAACGTTGTAGAACACACCATGCGCTGATTAAAGCGCTCCGATAGCGGGAGGTGTTGCTTCCACGCGTACCTAGAAGTGTTTGCGAGGCACAATCAAGTTTTGCGCGTGTGTGCTTTTCATCCCCTTCATTCTGAACTCCAGTCATACACCTTCTCCCGGCATGCCTGGGCAGAAAAAAGAGACTTACGAGAAGACAGGAAAACTGATCATCGATTCATTTGGCCTGCCACTGCTACTGCTGCTGCTTCTGCTGCTGCTGCTTCTGCTGCTGCTGCTGCTGCTGCTTCTACGGCTGTTCCTGCTGCTGCTGCTGCTGCTGCTGCTGCTATGCTCCTGCGCAGGTGGACGTGTCGGCGTCAGGGTCGCTGGGACGGTACGATTTCTCGCTCGCCCTGGACCGAGCCGGGGTGGAGTTGCCAGCAGAAGACAAGGACGCCCTATTTCGGTCGCTGTCTTCGGCGAGGACGGCAGGGACCGGGTGCGACATCGAGATGTTCGCCTACCTAGTCAACTTCTGGGCCGGGTGAGAGGCTTGCGACGACGACTTTTGTTTCTCCCTCTTTCCTCTCTCGCAGCAGGGGCTCCGTTGTTGTTGACTTGTTCGGGTAGGGTTTGCAATGACGACTGACTCCTTGCTGGCTCTCTCAGAGCGTGCTCCGTTGCTGTTGGTATTGGTGTTGTTGGTTCCCGTTGTCCTTTCGGTCGGGTTCAACCGCGCGCTCAAGCATTGTGCTCTAATAGTATCCGTCGTAGTAGGCGGCGTGTTCGCGCACCACACGACGCGCGTAGACAAGCATTCTGCTGTACATTCCACCGTCCGGAAAGACGACGTAGCAGTGTTGGTGTTTTTTACAGAAGCACCGCACCTGTAGAGCTAAGGTGACGTCCACGTGGGGTGCGGTGTTTATATGCCAAAGTCAAACCATTAGACTAGTCAGCGTTTAGAAGCCGAAGCCAAACCATTAGACCACTCAGCCCGCTGACGTAGTCTAATGGTTTGACTTCGGCCTCTGAACACCGCACTACACATGAACGTTTCCCTTGACTCTCGGCTGGCCGCGCCGGACTAAAAAATCCCCGGCGGCACTCACCCCCACTCCCCCAGCCGAAGCGAGGGAGAAACCACGACACCTGTCGCCATGGCCGCGGGCAGGCGCGAGCGCGAGCAGGCCAGCCACAACATCTTCCCAGACAACCGTCAGCGGCGACCCGCCTCCCCCTCCCCCGCCGTTGGAGACCGGCGCGAAGAAGAAGCTTCCCCAAAAACGAGGCGCGGCGGGAGCCTCCATAACGATGGAGACCAATCGGCAGTGGCGACGGCGGCTGGGTTTCGGGATCATGCCGCTGGCGAAGGGGACAGCGGCAGTCCACCGGTGCCCTCGGCCCACCGGAGGTGTTGGGCCGACAACGTTGGCGTCGACAACGCTGCTGCTAGCATCAGGGCCAGTGAATCTCCGGCGCTGAGGGGTGTCGGCGGCGTGGGAGCGGGAAACAACGCCGCTGCTACCGCGGCAGGCAAGCGGAACTCCTTCTCCGTCAACATAGGCGACATAATGAGCCACGTCGCCGTCAAAGACGGCCGCTCCTACTGCGGCGGCGGCGGCGGTGGCCCTAGCGGATCGATCGGAGGCGAGGACCCCGGCCTCGAGTTCTTCCACGACAGCAGTCGCCAGAAGCACGAGGGTGCTGTCGCCGACAGGCTTCCGCCGCCGCCGCCGGCGAGCGCTAGGGGGTCAGGGGGCTCTGAGATGGCGGGGGTGGACGGTGGCGGTGGCGTCCATGACCACCTCCCCGACCAGGCTTACCTGCACTCCCTCGGCTACGGGAACCTCGGGTCCGTGCTGCCGATTCTGCTCGATCGACGGTCGGCCTTAGAAGTGAGTCGTCGGGGATCGACCGGGTTCGCTTTCATCTGGCTGCTGAATGGTGGTTTGAAGGAGGTGCCGTTGTGTGTGTCGGCCTTTCAGGAAGCACGACGGTTTTACGTGGATCCGTCCTTTGAAGGGCCAACCTCCCCAAGTATCAGTAGTTTGGCGGTGTGGATTATCCTCTAAAAAAGATTCCGCAGGTAGTCTCATTTCGTTTGTCGCGAAAGGGCGCTCTTTTACCCCCCCCCCGCCCCCTCCGGACACATTGACGCTTTGAGTCAGGAAAGACACATACTGAAACCTCACAGGTTGATTTGTATTGGAGATTGCCGGACACATAGACGTGTTGAGTGAGGATAGCTGCATACTGAAAGCTCACAGATGGATTGGTTTTTGAGTTTGCCAGACACATAGACGCGCTGCGTGGGGATAGCTACATACTGAAACCCCACGAGTTGAGTGATGTTGGATAGTGCCAAACACATAGATAAACGCTTTGAGTGAGGATGGCTGCATGTTGAGACCTAACGGGTTGAGTGACGCCTGCGACTGCCGAACACATAGACGCATTGAGTGACGAAAGCTGTATACGGAAAGCTCACAGGTTGATCGGTATCGGAGATTGCCGGACACATAGACGCGTTGAGTAAGGATAGCTGTATACTGAT